GCTGACTTGGTTGATGTATGTCATCGTATCCTAATTGCGTAGATCGATGCTCATATCAATCACTGAATTGTCAGGTCCGGACTCGATTATTAACAGACCGCCGTCATATAACTGCACTGTTGCTGAGATAGGTGTTAAACAACCAGCAAGACTCACTCCTTGCACTGGGAAAAAGCAACCCAAACTGTGTGGGTGGCTGCCCTGGCTGTTTGGTAGTAACTGTATGTGATATGAATAGGTTGGGCTGATATTTCACTTGGTGTCAGCCAAAATATTGGAGAAAAAGCTCAAAGTGAGTTAAACATTGCAAGGTAGGTACTGAAGCAGGATAGTATTGACCATCATTATTGGGCGAATCTTGGTTCGAACCACACTATGTAAAAACCTGAATGAGCTAGCTTTGAAATAAATTACACGACTCGTGAGGGTAGAATATATCTTCGGCCATGCTTGCCGTAAAAGACGACCATGCTTGTCGTAAGAGGCGACTAAGGGGATCGGCTGACTTGGTTGATGCATGTCATCGATTCCAATTGCGTGGATCGATGTTCATAGTGTAAATCACTGGATTGTCTGGTCCAGACTCGATTGTTTACAGACCGCCGTCATGTAACTGGAATATTTCCGAGTGAAGCGTTAATCAACAAACAAACAAACAATAAATTACACCATCAGCTTAAATGTGGGAGAAAAGCCCCAAGTTCCACAGATCTTGATCACCGTGGTGAAACTCAGCACATCCTATCCTGTAGAGAATCGAAGGATCATTATCTTCCATTTGAACCATTTTTGGAACTGGTACTATTAAGGGACCATCACACTACACCCTGAAATGTAGATGAAGTCCAAGCCGAGCAACTGATATCCTCCCTCTCTCAGTGTTGTTTATAAATAAGATAAACACGAAACTGATTAAGCAACCTTTCAAGGCAGATTTGAATTTACGGAATTTTCAAGTCGGTTCGAACTTTATGTCGTAGCAAACTACAAGCTTGAAGAATCAGTGTTGGAACTAGATATACAATACACACATGGTCTGATGGGCACAGTCAAAACATGCGGTTACTGTGTATATAATTATATCTCCTTGAAGCTGGTCGTTCTGGACACAATCGTTCCACAGCTTAGGCAGGTCTCATGTTTCTGCAACATGTACTGCTGCCCTTTGTCCAGTCAATCTCACTGGTCTGGTCTCACACCCGCTAACAGGCCGTATATGAAGACACCATCTTGCAGGGCTGCCCTTTGTCCAGTCAGTCTCACCGGTCTAGCCTCACACCCGCTAACAGGACGTATATGAAGATCTCAACTTGCAGGGCTGCCCTTTGTCCAGTCAGTCTCACTGGTCTAGTCTCACACCCGCTAACAGGTCGTATGTATGAAGACCTCAACTTGCGCTGCTGTCCTTTATCTAGACTTGTACAAGTCTTTAAGGAAATAATTATCAGCTTAAATCATAATTTCTAGATTATGTAAATAATAAGAACAAGTCATCCCTGTAAGAGACTGGCGTGATGTCCACATATCTTGACTTGTCTGTTATGAGGATAGAATTACTACACATTCATGGACCTGTCTATCAGTACATCACCTATCTATCAGTACAGTCTTGGAGCAAGGCTACCCTGTATCCTGACAATCTCAATAGCCTCCCACCCACTATAGACCGTATATGAACCCAACTTGCACTGCTGCCGTATGTCCAGACAATCGAAATAGACCAGATTTTTGCACCGCTAATAGGCCGTAAAGGAAGACCCCAACTTGTAGCGGTCATCAACATGAAGTAACAGCATATGGGACACCAAAGTCACATCTCTTGTGTGAATTATTGTATTAATTTTTTTTGTATCTAAACCTTGCTTGGCGCATTCTACTGGTCAGTCAACTATGGACATGACTATGAACTGATATTGTTTCAACCACATGGTATGTATTTACTAATGTAGTCAACACGCTCTGCGGGACACGCATTTGGGTTATTGGTATTATGGAGAAATACTGGTGGGACCCCATGCTTGCCGTAAAAGGCGACTATGCTTGTTGTAAGGGGCGACTAACGGGGTCGGGTGGTCAGACTCGATGACTTAGTTGATGTATGTCATCGTATTCCAGTTGAGTAGATCGATGCTCATGATGTTAATCACATCTGGTCCAGACTCAATTATTTACAGACCGCCGTCACATGGCTGGAATATTGCTGAGTGCCACGTTAAACAACAAACAAACAAACAAACTGGTGGGAAGAGTGAGGAAGACACAATTTATTGTCCATATTGGACTACTGGTCTTGGTCTACTGGCGACAGAGTACTGGTATAGACATTTGTCCTGCCCTTCAGACCACACTGACAGACCCTCTACAATGTCTACTGGCGACAGAGTACTGGTATAGACATTTGTCCTGCCCTTCAGGCCACACAGACATCAGCCCTCTACAATGTCTACTGGCCACAGAGTACTGGTATGGACATTTGTCATGCCCTTCAGACCACACAGACAGCAGCCCTCTACAATGTCTACTGGCCACAGAGTACTGGTATAGACATTTGTCATGCCCTTCAGGCCACACTGACAGACCCTCTACAATGTCTACTGGCCACAGAGTACTGGTATGGACATTTGTCCTGCCCTTCAGGCCACACTGACAGACCCTCTACAATGTCTACTGGCGACAGAGTACTGGTATAGACATTTGTCCTGCCCTTCAGGCCACACTGACAGACCCTCTACAATGTCTACTGGCGACAGAGTACTGGTATAGACATTTGTCCTGCCCTTCAGGCCACACTGACAGACCCTCTACAATGTCTACTGGCCACAGAGTACTGGTATGGACATTTGTCCTGCCCTTCAGGCCACAGGAGACAACAGCTCCTTAATGACTAGTCATAGACCATCAGTTGTCCGTCCGTGACATAACCCTTCTTCATGTGTGTTTGTTGTTTAACTCCCTACTCAGCAATGTTCCAGCTATAGAAAAGTGTGGACCTGACAAACCAGTGTTTGATATTATGAGCAGCATAGGAGTAAAATGACAATGAAAACAATCAATTCACGAGCCAGACCATCCAGTCTGTCAACAAGTACAAGTTGCTGGAGGTCTACAATCATGTCACAAGCCAGACCATCCAGTCTATCAACAAGTACAAGTTGCTGGAGGTCTACAATCACGTCACAAGCCAGACCATCCAGTCTGTCAAGTACAAGTTACTGGAGGTCTACAATCACGTCACAAGCCAGACCATCCAGTCTATCAACAAGTACAAGTTGCTGGAGGTCTACAATCATGTCACAAGCCAGACCATCCAGTCTATCTACAAGTACAAGTTGCTGGAGGTCTACAATCATGTCACAAGCCAGACCATCCAGTCTGTCAAGTACAAGTTACTGGAGGTCTACAATCACGTCACAAGCCAGACCATCCAGTCTATCTACAAGTACAAGTTACTGGAGGTCTACAATCACGTCACAAGCCAGACCATCCAGTCTATCTACAAGTACAAGTTGCTGGAGGTCTACAATCACGTCACAAGCCAGACCATCCAGTCTGTCAACAAGTACAAGTTGCTGGAGGTCTACAATCACGTCACGAGCCAGACCATCCAGTCTATCAACAAGTACAAGTTGCTGGAGGTCTACAATCACGTCACAAGCCAGACCATCCAGTCTATGAACGAGTACAAGTTGCTGGAGGTCTACAATCACGTCACAAGCCAGACCATCCAGTCTATCAACAAGTACATGTTGCTGGAGGTCTACAATCACGTCACAAGCCAGACCATCCAGTCTATCTACAAGTACAAGTTGCTGGAGGTCTACAATCATGTCACAAGCCAGACCATCCAGTCTATCAACAAGTACAAGTTGCTGGAGGTCTACAATCATGTCACAAGCCAGACCATCCAGTCTGTCAACAAGTACAAGTTGCTGGAGGTCTACAATCACGTCACAAGCCAGACCATCCAGTCTATCAACAAGTACAAGTTGCTGGAGGTCTACAATCATGTCACAAGCCAGACCATCCAGTCTATCAACAAGTACAAGTTACTGGAGGTCTACAATCATGTCACAAGCCAGACCATCCAGTCTTTCAACGAGTACAAGTTGCTGGAGGTCGACAATCATGTCACAAGCCAGACCATCCAGTCTATCAACAAGTACAAGTTACTGGAGGTCTACAATCACGTCACAAGCCAGACCATCCAGTCTATCAAGTACAAGTTGCTGGAGGTCTACAATCACGTCACAAGCCAGACCATCCAGTCTATCAACGAGTACAAGTTACTGGAGGTCTACAATCATGTCACAAGCCAGACCATCCAGTCTATCAACGAGTACAAGTTGCTGGAGGTCTACAATCACGTCACAAGCCAGACCATCCAGTCTATCAACAAGTACAAGTTGCTGGAGGTCTACAATCACGTCACAAGCCAGACCATCCAGTCTATCAACAAGTACAAGTTGCTGGAGGTCTACAATCATGTCACAAGCCAGACCATCCAGTCTATCAACAAGTACAAGTTACTGGAGGTCTACAATCACGTCACAAGCCAGACCATCCAGTCTATCAACAAGTACAAGTTGCTGGAGGTCTACAATCACGTCACAAGCCAGACCATCCAGTCTATCAACAAGTACAAGTTGCTGGAGGTCTACAATCACGTCACTAGCCAGACCATCCAGTCTATCAACAAGTACAGGTTGCTGGAGGTCTACAATCACGTCACAAGCCAGACCATCCAGTCTATCAAGTACAAGTTACTGGAGGTCTACAATCACGTCACAAGCCAGACCATCCAGTCTATCTACAAGTACAAGTTGCTGGGGGTCTATTCTAATCCAGAAACCCCATGGATTCTTACACTTTAAAAGATAATCATGGCTGGAAACATATCTGTGTCATGAGTGTGTCTGGGGTAGGACTCTGGTGACACCTCGACATGCAACTTCAATGACCTCCATTTGTCTGCTTCATTGAAGAGAACACAAAGATTGTAATAGTTTTGCAAACGTTTATTGATACAAAACCCTGAATGACCAAGGAGTAGAAAACAATGGCGAAAAATGAATTATGAATAAATGAACAAATGAATTTCTTATGAACAAATGAATACAATAATGTATTGTTCCTCTAAGGAATGTTCTATTGATGCTATAATGACAGGTGGAACAAACATTGACCAGCCTAGACCATGGTGGGACAGACAGTAGTCTCCCCTTAGGTCATGAGGCCACCACCAGGTGGCAGCATGATCTCAGGGGAGATAACCCTTTTTGGGTGGGAAAGAAATTAAATTACAAAAGAGAATATCTAAGACAATTGAATAACCTGGTCAAGGCAAGACAGATTAACATGACAATGACTTGGAAGCGAAATATCTTAAAGAGATCTATTGTAGGCACAAATTGCAGAATTCACATGGAAGCCGATCTGGTGTAAAACAGTCGAATTGTTCACTCGCACATACCAATGAAACGTTTAGGACAATTTTGACACTAAGGTAACTTGATCATTTTTAGCACCCGAAAATAGTTAAAAATTCAGCAGAATTAGATTTATCGATTCTGATCGGGAGTATTGAAGATTTGGACTGCCCTAACCGATCATCAGGGAGATGCAGTGGGAATGAGGACATCGACTTGACAGTTTCATTCACTAGCTCCAGCCACCGCTGACACATGATGATACTAGAAATCGTAAGTTAGCTAATGCCTCGAGGATCACAGTCACACACACACAAACATGTTCACTAATGAATTTGTATATTTCAAATTTCCACCAATGAAATTGTCCGCTTGCTCATGGATGACTGATGGAACAATGTCATGATTGTCTCCATTTCATGGCTGATGGATGTGACAGATATAGAAAGACAATAAATAAAGTTGGTCTGATATGCAATTGGTTGCAAAAATAAGCACAGCTATATTTTGAGTATAAAAATCTTGCTTGGTGCATAGATATTATTGCATTTCATTGACAACCAAGTTCAGTAATGGATAGTGACTGGAGCTAGTGGTACGTCTTGACAGACCTCATCTGTATGGGACAAACAGGGACACGAACCACGCAACACAATAACTTTACTTCCAGGGCTCATTTTGAAGACTACTCAATTATTTTCAGAACAAGTAACTCAAAGACAAAACAAATTGGGCCAGTATCTGCTGCTTATTGAATGATACATTACAAAAAGGGACAAACTAATAACAATTTTCCTTTACAGTGCCATGTCAAGTATACAGTTTTTGAGCTATTGTCATGTTTGTTGACCTTTTGAACTTCTTGGCGGGACTACCTATTTGATTAGCATTTAGAAATCAATTGATTAGCATTCATTAACATTCAGTTAAATTACTGACAAACAGGCACAAAATGTGGCACACAAGGCCTTGTTCCACAAAGCAATCTTAGCACTACGACTCAGTCATATAGTTGCGATAGTCTCAGCTCTACGGCTAAGTCACAGAGTTACGATAGTCTCAGCTCTACGACTAAGTCACAGAGTTACGATAGTCTCAGCTCTACAACTAAGTCACAGAGTTACGATAGTCTCAGCTCTACGACTAAGTCACAGAGTTACGATAGTCTCGGCTCTATAGAGTTGGTCTTCGCATTAAGATGGCTTTGTGGAACAGGACCCAACGGTGCTAAAATAACCGTTTGTTCTGACCATCACACTTACAACAGAACATTCATTCATGTATTTCAACAGAACCGAGGGAAACTGGATCACTTTCCACACTGACAAATGTCCCTTGGTTCTCGACTAAAACATCACACATGTGGCAAATATTTTCTCCATTACACTTTGTACAATAGAACATAATAACATGCAACAGAACATATTTCACTCCTTGTTTATAATGGAAATAAACATTTGCAACATGGGAAAATATCATTTGGATAGGCCTGCAACACAGAACATGGAGACTACGGGAGGATGCATCAACACACGACTAATAACACATGTTTTAGGACTGCATCACTAAAACGTTCAGATCTCCGGAAGTGGTTCACAACACAGGCCAGCCATGACCCTACAACAATATACCAGTACTCCGGTTGGTCAAGTCGAACTAGTCCCCAGGTCACTTCAGACTAGTGGTTTGTGTAAAATAGCTTAGTTTTGGTAGAAACAACGTCACCCTGGATTTTCACTAGTCTTGGACTAACAGACCAGTGGCCTTGTCTATCCCTGTCATAACTTGTAGCTCGGGAGTAGCACTAATTCAAGGGCGGCAGTGAAAATAATGACACTTCTCATTGAATTCCTATTTTTGTTTGTGTTGTCATGGATACAGCTTGATGTTGGTCTGACTTCACTCAGAGGGAGCAAGGAATTTACGTGTTTACGGCGCTATATATATATATATATGACACTGTAGCAAACATGGAGTAAAGTCTATCATCTGGTGACGAAACTTTGAAACTAATCACATCGTATTGTCAGCTGATGTCCTCATTAGCTTCCTAGCTCATCAAACAGTGACATCATTCGGACACAAACTTGGGCGTCATCACTTTCCTCAAATCTAGGGTGTCATCACACAAGAACATCATGCACTGTATAGGTTTCTATATGTCTGATGACATCCAAAGAATGAGTGCCCATGTACTGGTGTATTGTTGCGGAAGCTGGCTGCCATGTGTCCAGAGTATAGGGACCACGTCAAGAGATCTAACAGATCGCTAGTGAGGTAAACTGGGTCCAGTCATGACAACAACAGCATTAAGTTAAATAAATAAATAATGTCAATAAATACCATGGTGATGTAGGAATACTTTAAAATTTATGACATCTTCTGACAATGTGTCAAACATGACAATTCTGGAGTATTTTTTTATATTTTTTTCTCTCAATATTTTCAATACAAAAAATAATTCAGACATTTCTCCGTGACAATGAAATGCCTAATGTGGAGCAAATAAATAATGAAAAAAAACATAACTGGCAAGGTTTTTTTTTCATGAATTGAGGCATTGCACAGTCTATGTTAAATGAAGATATGGTGATATATGCCCTTAGCATACACCTCGTTCTGATGATTTGTTAAAAATAAACAATACAAACTCGAAAAGTACATTCATATTTCTAATGTCAATCTGGGAATGCCCTTATCAAAATCATAGGAATTTAAACAAAGGTCAATTGTGGTTCATTTGGAATCAATTAACAGTGTATGAATATCAACCAAAATACATGACTCATAGAGCAGACACTTTTCAAACAGATTTGGCAGCTCAGGTTCATGAGAATTTCTTGTTATGATAACAAGTTTTGTGACAAACACTCTTGCTATGCGCTGTAACCTTATGAGTGATATGCATTTGAAAGTTGTCTTCAGACAATGATTTGATCAGTGATACTGTGGTCATTAGGGAATCATTGATATCCAGAGAAACGGCCAGTAACAGACTTATGCAATGATCATGTGAGAGTTTAAGCGGAAGGGAATGATGCACACGGACACATAGAAATCACCATGAATTCATTTCATTTGATAAACACGACAACAGATCATAAAGATATACAATTTTCTGGTAGCGAAGTCTCATTTTTTAACAGAGTTGATCCTGCATAAGAAACAGTCGTAAGAAATGAAGTGACCACCTGTCAACGACTTCTCAGTGACGGGGAATTTTTCATATTAATGGACATATGCTAGGTATCAAGTGAGTTGAAAAAGAAGACCTGTGTATATTCTGCAAGAACAGAGCTTTATCTTAACAATGATTCTGACAGAAAAAGTAACAAGATTTCTTAATGGTATGATAAATTCCTCTACCCATACAGGAACTTGTACACAGTGTATTCACCTCTTCAGCCTTGCACAGCAAGAAGATATCTACCATGTCACAAAGAAGTCATCTTGTGTTCAAACATGCATATTTTAAAATTTCATTAAAAACAATAACAATTTGGGATCTTGTTCGCAACTTGTTTCCACATGTAAATACTGTAGTGTTGGGATGGCCAAACATTGAATGAAGTTTTAAAACAGGCATGTCAGGCTCTACCGCAAGAGAGCATCTAAGAGCATTCAACAGTAATTAGAGACTTTTTACAGGCTTCTTTTAACAGACGTAGCATTCATAATTTACTCTTGTTGACTGACATTTCATGTAGCATGCTTCCGTAAGTTGCTATATACAATTTTAAAGATTTTCAAAGTCAGTCATTCCCATGCAACGACTGTTAAAACAAGCCAGTCAATATATCAACTCTTTGTTTCATAACTATTTAATATAACCCTGAGCGAAACATTTGAACCAGTGTTCCAACTGAATGAAACCTCCAAGAACTGTTCATTCTATCTAAGTACGACAAATATTGATCAACTTATGATTGTGCATCATATTTATGACTAGATGATGCCTTGTAAGTGAAACAACAGACTATCTAGATATCTATATACAATCAAGCATGCACATAACACACGACATGTCATCGCACCCAACATGGTGGCATCGCACCTTAATAAGTTAGGAATCCGGGGCAATTTTACACAGATCTATATACAATTAATGGGCACAAAATTCAATAGTATATATTAGTCTCTTTGCCCAAGGGACAAACCAAATATGAATCCACTGACGCTTGAAATAAGTTAAATACCTGGTATATTCAAGATTAGTGTTTTGATTTCGTGGGCACAGTACTCATTAAATAAATCTACAATTCTCTGTGCCCGTCGAAATAAAGCAAATACTTGAAAGACACATGCACAACTAATAAATTAATTAAACCCATATCAACAAACCTGGAAACAATCAGTTACTTGATGTGACAAATCTCTTATTGCATTAAGGTTTGGGCAAATATTGGAGAATTTTCAACACTTTCCAAACAAGTACAGTGATGTCCAAACTGAAAATGGGGGTGATTCAAGACTTAAAATTTAGAAACTATCAAAGTTTAGACACTCGTTTTCTTTTAACATTTGTAACGATAACCTGTAAAATAATCTCATAAAAATATAATACAATAACTTACATGACAAAACTGTCCATGCCTGTGTTTCCAGAACTTGACGATACATGATTAAAGTGGTCAATGGACTCAAAAGCGATTTGTCCTCGTCTTGAATAACGGTGGATTTACTTGAAAGTTAATTTCAAGGCATATTAAGTCAACAATATCATAATTCTGTTCATTCTGGAAGAGGGCACATTTCAGACTACACCTTGGATCACCTGTCGCACTGAGTAGTTTTCACACCTGAAGCCTTACAACACAGACCCATAAATACGCAGGCCTTGGACTACACTTCTAACAGTCACGGACTGATGAGAGATTCCAATATTGATATATGTTGTCAGTATACGAAAAGGTTCAGCCGCTATGTATGTGAGATTACCTTGGAGTAATCAGCCCGGGAAGAGCATACTGCATTGAAACTTACTCTAACACATATTTTGAATCAAAAGCATGAAATTCTTCCTCTGAGGTTGAAAGTGTGTTCACAATGAACAAGGAAGTGATCTCAGTGTCTGTGTCACAGCGTCAATTTTTACAAAATCTTATTTGGACAAAGCACTTTTATGAACAAGCATTTCAAAGTGATTGTGTCTTCTTTGATTCAAAGTATTGACTTGGGAGGTATATTTACAGTCCGTTTCTAGACGTAAGAAGTTAGATCATATGTATGCACCATACGCCAATTTCTAGATATCTACGAAATATGTATAACTGGATATTTGATGAGTATCATTGTATGAAAGCTAAGCACTTAAGGTACAGGGGAACTTTTCCATAAAATACAATAATAGAAGCTCAATTAATACAATTTGGCAAGTGAACCACTCAATAATTTTCACAGGGTATGTGTAAAATATAAGTCGAAGTTTGACAACCTAATCACCGAGATGTACATGTTTCTACTCTCAAGACATACAGACTCATTTCGATATCTATGGGAAAACTACTCATTGTGCAGGGAAATAACTTTCCAGGAAGTCAAGGGAATCATACAGACATACAGAGTAAACCAACCACATAGGAGTGAGTGAGTGAGTGAGTTTGGATTCGAACCCGGGTCTTCGGCGTGACGAGCGAACGCCTTAACCACTAGGCTACCCGACCGCCCCCAACCACATAGGACACACAGCCCCTGGTTAAATCAAACCTGGAGAAAAAGCTAAACTTTGTACAATTTAGTCCAATTTCAAACAATCCTCTCGAAAGAAGACAGATTTGGTGCATTTTCTTTTTAAAAAAAAAGACATATCAACAAATAGAATCAACATATACGTGATGGATAATTTAGAAATTTTAAATAAAGGTTGTTTGTTTAGGCTGAATGTCATATAAACAAACCTTGACTCTTGATCAACTGAAATAGACAAACGTAATAGATGACCTCCTCTGTCAAAACAGCATCAAGAAAAATCCCATCCTAATCATGCACAGAAAATAATCCTCTAGAACATTGACAATTTATTAAAATGTGTTAAAATACTTCTGTTGTCATGGTTACTGTTGTCACAAATAATTAAAATTATTATGATAATATAATATTTATTTAAGATCAAATGTTTTGTGCTGCATCAAAATATTTTCAGTAATACAGCAATTTAAGCAAATATTGTTGATAAATCTAAGAATGGGATCTTCCTTGGGTTGGCAGAGAACCAAATAACTATATACATACAAACATGTAAACAATAGACAGACTACTCGTGTGTGGTAGTGTGCTGAAGAAAGAAATTGAATGCTCTTCAGATAATTAGTACTTCTTTCGGAAAGATGTAAAGAATAACAAATAGTTCCAATCACCAGATTGACCTAATTTTGGGGTCAATCATAAAGATATTATTTATATTTTCAAATAAAAGGCAATTAACTAAAACATTTAGAGATAATTTTACATGCATTTTCAGATGAAATGTCACATGACATGCTGGTTTAATTTGCACTTTCCTGAAGAAACATTTCATTTTCCTGAAAACCATTTCAACAGTTTTCTTTTTAGGCCTAAGAAATCCTGATGGTCCACACTGTCACCGAACCACCAAATGAAAGTATAACAAACTCAGAACACACATTTGTAACATAACAATATGTATACTATTTTACAATTAGGAATAGGGCATTTAAATCTTGCTTGTGCTTATCATGGAGATAGCTTTAAGTTATGTCGTGGTGAATATTGGTCCTTCAAGAGAGAGAGTTTGTTGGGAGTGAAGGGAAATCCTTCATGGAAGTCTGTACAGACACCACCATTGCTTCAACAGCACGTTGTCCATGGGTGACGAAGAATGCACTCAGATGAAGCTGATATGTAGTCTTTGCAATATTATGACAATGTCAGGGAATACAGTTCCGGAATAAATTAAACTGGCCTCATCGTTAACACTGCCCTAGCTAAGATGAAATGATGGTTCGTTATAAATATTTCGATGATATTTGGACAACTGCTTCTTATATTTGGTTTGACCGAGAACGCCTTGTGAGCAGTAATCTCATACCCTTGGGGTCGAGATCATGTAAATGAATATTGTAAAAAAAAAAAAATTAAAAAAAAGGGCTTTGGGCTGTACATCATCAGCACCCCAGTCAGAGGGGACAAAAGAAAGTGCCACACTGATGCACAGGAATATATGTTGAAAGCACCAAACTGTTTCGTCAACTGAATAGCTAGCATCAGCAGCGAATACACAGAGTCAACATCCAGTTTTGATCCATGAGTCGTTGCACGGAAAAGGCTCCGACAAAAAAATAATTATAATGCCACTACTGGCTGGTTGTGAACTGTAAATGAAGACTGTTACAAAATTGCAAAGTTTGATATAGGGTTGGTAGTTGACAAGAGTGGATCGTTGATGAATGGAACAATGTACACAACCCTTCAATGGCAGCAAGTTTGGGGAAGGCAGGCTTTGGATCCACAAGTTTTCGGTGTACGGTACACGAGGATGGAATAGACCATTAGGCATCATCCCCCTCAGCGCCAGTAGGAATATTTCCGCAGCTGTGAACTTTGTACGTATCCACTAGGGTCATCAGCTTCACTGGCTAACTGACAGAGGAGAGTAACAGTTCACAACCCTTATTCTTCCAACTGAAACTTCTCGTGGCAAACCTACAGAGGTACTGTTTAGTTCTACGTTGCAACAAGGCAGTTGAGCAAACACAAGTCATCATAATCCATTCAGAAACTTGCACACGCGTACTATCCAAGACTCTCACACTGTAAGCAGACAATGGTTTGATTTTTTTTTGTTTTTTTTTACAAAAGAAAATGGCAAATGGCAGATTCTTTGTGCAGAAGTGGAAGGATTTCCTGAGATGTTTTCCTCACGTTGAATCAGATCACTGTTGGCTTCAACATTCCATTGCCAATGCTCTGTGTGTAAAGCCAGCCTCCAGTTTCGAAGCAGCACAAGTGAGTCTCTCTAGAGAGAAGTTGGGTGTCATGGAGGATGCAGAACAGTCTTGGTCTGCTGTCACACGAGCATCCAGGAAGTCATTGTCGCCGTAGCTCTGGCTACTTGCGTTGCTCTCAGTCTCAACTGATTGGCTGCGATGTATTTCTGTCTTCGTGGTCACTTTGTTTCCTCGACAGGAGAAACAGGGCCTCAACAATTTGGGGTCCAGTAAAACTTCTCCATTTAATCCCTTGAAGATGATTCCACAACACACTTGAGTTCTACAACACAAAAAAATGTCATATACAACCTAAACAAAACAGACATTCTAAGTATTGAAACAGTTTGAAACATATTGTATCTATCTATGTTAGCTACACAAAGCAAGGGCTTCACATATTGTATCTATCTGTGCTTGGAACACCAAGCAAGATGGTCACATATTGTACCTATCTATGCTGGAAATGCCAAGCAAGGGTTTCACATATTGTACCTATCTATGCTGGGAATGCCAAGCATGAGTGTCACATATTTTGCCTATCTATGCTGGGAACGCCAAGCAAGGGTGTCACATATTGTACCTATCTATGCTGGGAACGCCAAGCAAGGGTGTCACATATTGTACATATCTATGCTGGGAACGCCAAGCAAGATGGTCACATATTGTACCTATCTATGCTGGGAACGCCAAGCAAGGGTGTCACATATTGTACCTATCTATGCTGGGAACGCCAAGCAAGGGCCTCACATATTGTACCTATCCATGATGGGAACGCCAAGCAAGGGCTTCACATAGTGTACCTATCTATGCTTGGAACGCCAAGCAAGGGCGTTACATATTGTACCTATCCATGCTGGGAACGCCAAGCAAGGGCCTCACATATTGTACCTATCCATGCTGGGAACGCCAAGCAAGCGTGTCACATATTGTAGCTATCTATGCTGGGAATTACACAAAGGTAATGAGCTAATACTTCAACCACTTAACTACCCCTCATCACTCCATTAATGTAATGTGACAAAATATAATTTTGAAATTCAAAAGTTTAATCCATAACTGAAACTCAAAAGGAATTTAGTTACGTACTACTATCCATTTATTCAAACAGATATCAACTCATTGAACAACAAATTTTATGACTACATTTGGGTACAAGGATAAAAAATAAACCATTCTAAATGGCCGCCTTCTCACTTTTTCCAGTAACTGAGATCTAGGAAGGAGCTGACTCGAGGACGAGCCAGACTGGGAGATCTCTTCCTGTGTTTGGAGCTGCTGCTATCCCGTGAATCCTCATTGTCGGACTCGTCACTCAGACTCAGGGAACGCTTTCGAGGAAATGAGACGTTTTGACTCAATGTCTCATCACCTGCTGACACAAAGAAAAAGTGGTCAAAACAAACTTCATAATTTCCTGACATTTGATTGAAATGCTTTTTCACAAAGAGCATGAACTGAACCTACAATTGTACAAGCTGTTCTATATCATCTTTTGTTACATAAATAATTAGTATATGTTCATTATAATTTCATGAGAATTCCTGATGACTTTGTTTTATAATAGGTATTTCGTTTAGTAATCATTACAGGAAGTGTAGAAAGGTCGAACGGACAATAAGGATTAATGCCCCAGGCTCTAAGGATTAGGACCTGGGTATTTCACTTTGCATTGTCACTAAACGTAAACCTTCTTTCAATCAAGAATCAAGAATCAAGAATCAGATTTCTTGAGCTATTTCAGTCACACACTTGACACAAATAACACATCTGGCCACAAATAATACAAGCAGAAAGTAAATAATAGATCTATCCCGAGACACCTATTTGATAAATCTAGTCAGATCTGGGCCAGTGGAAGGGTATAAAACTCTTGTTCATCTACATTCATGAGTATCCACAGGACCTCTGAATAGCAGGACAAACACTCTCCCAAAATCAAGAGAGCAGGTATAGACTATAATCCACACAGCCTCATACACTTCACCACTTATCTGGGCACACATTCCACTGGAGCCGACACATGTTGTTTCTATTATCACTCACAAATTGACCTGACCCATGTTCATTTTTAGTAAACTCAGCCAGAATTCCAAACTGAAACTGCCTAGTTGGCGTCAACCAGCTGGAGAAAGCCTCAATATTTCAGTTTAAAACTGCCTTCAGTGTTTTCAAACATGTGACAACAATGGGCTTTGTAATACATGCACAATGAAACCCTATTATTCCAGACTGTTCACAGTGAAATGTCCGGATTAATGAGAATCATGGGCGTACGGTAGTGAATGGCTCCATTACATCAACCTTCCCACTTAACAGAAATCACCCAGAAGGCTTTTGACTGTAACTATATTTCCTTTATTTATTTTCATGGACATCTTACGTTGAGGATATAGAGGGAATATGACAGACAACAGGTTAAAAAAAAGTCTCAATGTCAAAATTAAGCATGAATGCTGCTATTCCCTGAAGCATAGCTGTGTTCAAACCAACATTTTTACGATCATCAGTGGTAACACTAACGAACAGACAACGGCAGATGAGTTTCCGATTTCCCAACAGCTGTCCCTCAACCACCCTCATTGAGCACAGAGAACAGTAACCGTGGGTAGCACTCTGCCCCCACTGAGTCCCAGTCACCACTGAAATATGCAGAAAGGGTGTGGTCTGGTTTCTATGGAGCTAGTGCAGCAAGCAGCTCTACCGACCCCCGTCCTGCATATTTAGCCCAGAGAGGCTTCATCCACAACCCTGTTGATAGCTGCGTGAGGTTACTGGGTTATTGTTATGATATGGTGGGAGTGGATGACGAGGCATGTTATAACCTGCTGCTCCATCCTGCATTGATGGGTTGGTTCCCCCTCCTAACATGTTCATGCACATGTCACTTGCAATGTCATGATACCTCAGGCTGTATCAGGAGTGGGTGTTCTGTCTTATCTGCATGTGTGGTAATATGTATGCGATAGCATTTTAATATTAATATTGCAAACTGTCCCGACATCTGTTTGGCTTTTGACTTCCCTTGTTGCCTAGCAACCCATAGAAAACTGTCAGCTGATAAACAGACTTGTGATAACCGTTATGTAAAAAAATCAACATAATTTCAGATTTTATATAGAGATGATAAAATGAATACATTTATCATTAGCTTAGCACAGAGAAACAAAAAGCATGCATTAAAGTAGCAGTGCTTGGTCTTTAGACAAGTAAACATTCACTGAATGTACTCAACGGCAATAAAAATCCACTAACTTACAAACAAGCACAGGCCTGCAGGGAGATGACAAACCCTTACACACCATCGTCACTGTCTTATTGCATTTCAAGGGGTCCCAGGGTCTCTGGTGTAAATTCCAACATAAGCCTTATATTCAACAGTAGGTTACACCGAGAAGTGTTATTTTGTGGAAGGTGTGTGTGGGGCTGTGGGAATAATCTGAGAACACCAGCTCCTTGAAACATGAGGCTTTCTTAACACATTCCCAAGGGGAGGATGGCTCTCTGCTTGTTTGAACTTTCATGACCATCTATGTCTTCTGGTTGGGGGTTACGCTAATGGAAAATTACTTTAGCACATGCTGTGATGGAATTATCACCCAGACGTATCATGTGACACCATCAGTTTGGCCAAATCGACAGGACCACATTCCCTCATATAACGCTGCACTCACTTGTTATTACTAGAAAAAAATGTTTCGGAGAAAAAATCCATGTGATGCATAAGAAGAGATTTTAATCATATCTTTCCTTTTCCATGTAACCCAACCTTATTTTATTAACAAAATACAAAATATATTTAATATAGATCAGTGAGCGACTGTTCATGCCACAGGGAAACAAAGATTTGTACAATTGTGGTTGTCATTAAAAGCACAAATATTCACCCACTAGGCTACCCCACCACCCCTAAATAATCCAGATCAAATAGGGGCCAGACTTCCTTAACCCAAATCTTCACCTGAGAATTCATCTGAGAGTTGGCTGGGACTAGGAATGCTGTAAGTTTTTCTTTTCTCTTTGTTTTTCTTGATCTTCTTGTGTTTCTTGAACTTGAGTGGACTCTTATTCTTGATCTTGAGGGCTGACTTAGTGCCAGGACCTGCTCGAGCATCCACTACCTGTAAACACACAACAAATATTGCTAGGTAACCTCAAAGGTACATGCAAGTTTGTCAAGCGAACTTGTTTACTTTCACTGCAGACAAATGTTCTGTGTGCACTAGCCCGCATCATGTGTTTGTACGTCTTGGAGGATGTGAGAACTGCCTAGGTGTCATGTTATACAAATTTCTCACTCACCAAAAAATGTAACCACATTACTCTTGCAAAGATTCAGTTATCATTCATAGAATTTGTACTACATAACAATTTCCTGAAAACATATATTACTTTTATTACAACATCAGTATCAATCACATAGTTGGCAGGAAACAAGGGAAAAAGTTCCGTTTCTAGACAAGACACAAACAGTTTGTTGGCAATTGTGACGCTACCACTGGACTGGGTCCAACACAAGAAGTTGTGAATGAGTGAAGGTTGTAAACACTATCTCTTCTGTGATGGGGTTTGTCTTGGATAACTTGGGTCCCGTTAAAAACGATCCAGAAAAATCACTGAATGGAAACTCCACAATCTGACATTGTGCCAGGAGTAGTTTTCTAATTAGACCTGTGATGACTGGCATGAAATATACGTTGAACAAAGAGTTTGTAGTGTGCGCACGGCACTGTTTTGATGGAGGAAGGGGTGGAGGAAGTTGTAAGGGATGGAGGGGCAGAGGGGAGGAGTGGACACCAACAATGTTGGGTGAGTGAGTGAGTAATGAGTATGGCATAAGTAATAATCAAGCCATATCACACATTCAACCTCATGAATGGGCTTCACATATTGTACCAAGGCAACAACTATGAAGCAGATACCACTGTTCATATACAACAAGTCCAAAGCTCATTTCGAACTAGTGGGTATGTAAAAACTAGATTTGGGGATTGAACACCAAATCTGTCTAGACTGTAACTACTAGTGGCCGTGTCTATGCCTACTAGGGGTCGAGAAGAAAGGAACACTAAAACAGTCCCAGACACAATTGGGACGAGGTAAAGGCAGACGAAACGGAAAAGACGAAATAGAAAGAAATGAATAAAGAAGGAGAATCCAATAAAAACCTGGAATCATGAATCTGACGTAAGCATGTTTGAATCATAGAATACTTTGAAAGAGGGACGACTACAAGGACCCCTTGACCTGCCATGATTGACCTCTATCAGTGGTTTGAAGAGCAACAAAGGTGGCAAGGTGTCTCCGGTGTTACTGTGGGCAGGGGGTAAACAGTTGTGGGGAGGGGCCTGACAGGAAACAGATTCACCCCCATGCAATGCAAGCGATCCTATATTACAGTACCGTTACATGCCCGCCGGCCGGCCAGCCGTGGGGCAGGCCGGTGAGACCGACATACTAACACACTGACCCACTGTGTCTGCCCCACTGCCACTATGTACAGTCAAAGATTTGCAGATTTATCACGCTTACAAAACTCATTGTTCATGTCAAGCGGCAGCCACTCAAGTTACGTTTTAACCAGCTCCCTATGAGTCAATGTTTATAAAGAATGCAGCAGTTGAAGAAACAGTAACATGAGCAAGTGCAGTGCACATGTAAGGCTGAGCGTGCATGCGAGGTGGCTGCCGCTGGTGGTGCTGCTGCAACACGTGGTGCTGCAACTGACGGCTTGCTGCTGCATCTGCGCAGACATTTACCCACTGTCAAAACAGGTGCCCTGTTTGCAGTCAGCATCCCAACCAACTCCTCTCCTTTGCTCAGACACAAACGGCTGAATATTTTGCATGTGTATTGAAGAGGTGAAGGTCACGCTTTCCCCGAGAGTCGGCTCCCAGTTATTCACTCCTATGAATCCTGCTATTAATGTTACACCTCACCTCTCAACTTCATACATTATGTTAATGATAATTTATTCCACATTGTAACTTTGAGCCTGGCAATTTCAATCCGGAATGTCACATGGCATCCTTGAACAGCCCAAAGTGGCCTTCAAAATTTATCCAGAAAATATCTCATTTTCTGCCTGTTTGTAGATACTCTAATGCCTGACAAAGAAACCATCTCACCACACATGAAATGCAAAACTAATAATTTCTAAATATATATTCCTTTGAAATTGACAGGTAATGATAGGCTTGGATGATCTATTGATGAATTATGCTCTTCCTTGTACAAGAAAATTAGACAGCAATGTGCTTTTTATCACAGCGCAAGTTACATCTGACAAAATTACAGTTTTCAGTCTGCATGCTTCCACAGAATCAATTACCAGCTAGTATTGATCTGTCCTGCCTCAGAATAGTTTGACCACAGTAGTGGCTGGGCTATTAATAGACTGTCGGACACTAAAACTGGCGGTAACACTAGCTCACAGATACCTATGCAGCTACACCGAGATCATTTCAGCATAACAGCAAATTTCTTCACAAAATGCATTAGTATGGTTGGAGCATGCATCGATGTTTGCAGACATGGCCCCTAATCCGCTGACAGCCCTCTGTGCGAGGCAGACGAGTTGAGCTGCATAGGAAATTATAATGCAGCATTGGAGGGCATTCACCCTCTGATCTGATGGCTCTCTTCTCCCACTGTCGGCAGACGCAACCTAATTTGGGGTCTCGCATATTCAGAATGGTGGCTTGGCAGACTCGAGGGCTGGCTTTGAACAAGCATGAAATCTGTAGTGTCAAGTATTGGCCGGCTGATATTCTGTTTCTTACTGTACACCATGTACACAAATACTTGGTTTAACCTAGTCCACCGACTGACATTGAATTAAACACTTGCATCACTGCATGTAAATATTGCCGCAGCAAAAACTCCACTGCTTGAGAGGGAAACAAGAAAACATTGATTTTTGGAAACTTTTTCCATTGTTTTTACAGCTTTAGACAGCCTAACCATTCTACCATCTCTAAGTGAACAATGTGAAACCTGGCAAGAAGTAAAATGATCTTGAAGGTGTTGACAGTCGCAATTCGTTTGTTCCACTATCAACCCGAACATATTCAAATGTGTGTACTATGCTGACAAAGCAGACGAATGGGATATATACATTTTGAAACACCTACATTTAAGTTGTAACAGGCTTGAGATGTGATCTATTTAAACCAGCACAAATGTTAATGTTGTATCCAAACCTCCTTATATCTGATCTAAACGACAATCCATACTGGCCAGATCAAAGAAACATCAACAGCAGATGCTTCAACAACAACCATAAAAGACCCAGTGCCCCAAACCAGTCAGGGAATTCACCATCGGTTTGTTTGTACAGCAGTCCCCCATCGGATCATTTTACATGGCTATCCTTAAGCCCTGCCACTAGTCATAATTTGACCGAATTGCTTCCTGCCAATACAGCATCCATCAGGTCAATCCAACAAAGCAAGCAACCTGCATCTTTTGACCGAATTCCACCATGCATATATTAGCCTAAATCAAACACCTCAGAGCAGAGGTGTTAGTCTGGTGGACTGGGCCGAACGGACATAAGGCAACTGCCTATGCTGCAGGTCGTTGGCCCTGATGGCGATGTTGCTTCAGAAATAGATTAGCTGAAGAGTAAGTCGAAATAGGTGGTGATAGTCATGTACGCCATCTGCTTAGCGACACCTGGCAGAAGGAAAAGTTGGAGTAGACATGCTCCACTCATAATGAGGATTCTTTACCCAAAATAGATCTTACCAGGTCAGGAGAGTTTTTTCAGTATGCAAGAAATATTTGTTACTGTATTCAAAGGAATGTACAACTGTGATGAGTTTCCCAGTTCCAGAAGATGCAGCTGAACTGGACTGAACTTGGTACTATATTTACCGCTTGTCAACATCTTTAGACAAATGTCTTAACTGAAGGAATTCAGTTTTCAACTGGAGTAGAACAGAAAACTTGAAATACCATTGACAACAATCTGTTTACGAAACATGTTTTAAATTCCTTCACATTGTTTTTCATTGGGTATGAACATTACAGAAAGGTTATCTTGGGTGCTGCTGAGTTCAATCACAATGTAGTCTCAAACAGCAGATGTCAATATTATTGAGCTGAACGGCTGCGTGTGGCAACTGACCATCCTATCAAGGGATGCTACTTTCCTGTCAACATGCCACATTCAATTCATAGCCAATTAGTCATCTTTGCCAATTACCTGCCAAGCATGTAGCTTCGGCCTGGGCCCCGGCATGCTGTGTTGTGTGGACATCCATAAATTCCTACCTAAATTGAACTGGTAATGAAATGACAAAAGTGGAAAATTCTTTCCATCAGTTGATAAATGTGACTGGTGCTATTTATTTTCAAAATAAACGAGACAGGAAGGGAATGCCCCCATAACCAGAACCTGTTGGATATCAGTGATGGGACTTTGGTAGATTGTCTGCCCCACAGCTTTCATCGGCCACAGTAACACCTTGTTGTCATGTTAGCATATTTTACGTTTGTCATTCCGGGCATCTTTATCACCTTTGTCAGACCTAGTTCACCTGCGGATAGGACAAAGCAGAGGTGTCCCAATCTTCATAACAGGAAGCATAAAGCCGCGATTCTGACACCCATGATCATACACCTTTCTATTCCATCATTGTGTGATGTGATGATTGCTGATACCGTATTCGACGTAGTAAGCGCCCAGGGCACTCTCAAAATTACAAATACGGGGCTGTTATTAGAATATAATTTTGGTGGGAGAAAAAACAAAGTAGAAAGATTGTAAGTTTCGTGGCTTATCCTGACAGCTTGAAATGATACAAAAGAAAAGTCTGTGCACATTATAAACGACAGATATATTTCCCAGAATTGAATTGCCCATAATTAAGGGTGCTTAATGCATATAACACACGAGTTTGTATTATACACGAATAGATAAGCGTACATTGATCAATCGGAAGGGGTGCTAACTAGGATTGTTCACTAGGATTGTTCACTAGCCAATATATTAGCAAATATCGCCCTAGGCGCTTATTACACCAAATACAATAATACAAGTTTAACAGAGCAGGTGAAACTATTTGGCCTTTTGGCCTCATTAAAGCAATATCAAGCCTGGAAACACACGGAAAAG